CTGTAAAACGCCTACCCTGATGCGGTCCGCCCTCTGCTTTTGGAGAAGTGCTAGGAGTTCTTCCCTCTTTTTAGCCTGGAGCACAAAGACAGAAGAAATAAGAAAGGTTACAAACACGAGGTGGCTACTTGATCTGTCTTTCCTGCTTGGCAGCAAGACGGGTGAACAGCAGTGTGAGAAGTTGAACATATGTAAGAAACTGATCACCAGTTCTTGGTGGTGAACACTATTGTGATAGCGAAGGAACAAGTAATAGGTTTATTCCATGCTGAAAAAAGAAGAAAGAAAACACAATGTTTCGGCCCTGGAGCCTTCTTCAGGTGTGAGCACCATTTCTTCTTTTTTTCAGCATGGAATAAACCTATTACTTGTTCCTTTGCAGCCTACACATGCTGACGCAGCTACCCACCTGAACTACTATTGTGATAGGCTTAGCACCAATCAGAGTGGCTGAACACTAGTCTATATGAACACTAGTGTGATAGGCTACGTACCGTTTGGAGTGGCTGAACACTAGTCTGTAAACTCTGATTTGTTAAGCACCAGTCTGAGAGCGTAAACACTAATCTGTAAACTTGAACACTATTCTGATAGGCTAAGCACCAGTCAGAGTGGCTGAACACTAGTATGTAAATCTGAACACAAGTGTGAGAAGCTAAACACATATTAGAAACTACCACCAGTTCTTTGGAGTGAACACTTGTGTAATAGGCCAAGCTCCAGTCTGAGAGGCTTAAGACTAGTTTGTAAACCTGAACACCACTCTGATAGCCTAAGCAGCAGTCAGAGTGACTGAACACTGGTCTGTAAATCTGAACACTAGTGTGGTAGGCTAAGCACCAGTCAGACCCCAGTGTTTAAACAGTGAATCTCCACACCAGCACAGAATAAATCAGAACTATGATCACTAAAAAGGCCTCATAAAGTATAATAAAGCAGTGCACCTGTCAACAACAGAAAATCCACACCAGTGCATCTTGCACATGGTGTTTGTTCTGTAAGCAAATAAGGGTTTTACCTACAGTTATGGAGTGTCTTTGCTGTAGCCTATATAGGGAATGGCCGTGCACTTATGGCAAGGAGGTTCTTGGTCATACTGTGGCAGTTTCTAGTCAATGAGCCGTCATTCAGATGGTATTTCAGGGAGGGGATTGAAGAGGTTAATTAGCTAAGAGGACTCCTGCTGCACTGACCCCCTCCCCCAGGGAGCCACAATTCCTGCCTGATGATTCTCCCGGGGAAAGGGAAGCAATCAGAGTGACATAAATAATCTGGTATCCCCCTCGTTTTCCGTAATACACGGATGACGGTAAAGAGCAATTTAAGCAAAAAAAAAAAACAGCTGAGCAGAATGAACGCTCATGGGATAACACATATTAAGAACATCAGTGAAGTAAAATCCAGATGACAGACGAAGTGGATCCCAACCTTGATTCTATTCAGCTCATATTTTTTTATGTTTTTGTTTATTTAGCCATATAGTAACAGAAGGATAGAAACTCATCCTTTTTTTGCGGAGCTGCCAAAGGTCTCAAGACACAGGCGCTATTTAAGCCTCCCGCCGGTGGAGGTTCACCTTACAAACTCCCAGTGACCCATGGTTGAGCTCCACCAGCGACGTCCCAGCCTCTTACAACTTGCGCTCTGGTGTGGTCGTGCACAAGGCTTGAGAAGAACTGCAAAACTGCAATCAGGCTCTTAAGGCTGCACAGCCTGAGCTGTCACATCGTCCTAACAGGGAGATGAGGCGAGATTCCCTGGCCAGCTGTATTCTGCTCCTCAGCAAAATGAATCAGCCCCCCCCCCCATCATAACTCCTTTAAAATGAATTGATCCCTGAGCAGGCAGCTCCTTCCGCTAATCAGATTTGTAAAGGTGGAGGTGGAGAGGAGGAGGGGGTGGGGGTGGGGGCTAATGAATGAGAGGCGCTGCAGTGGCATTAATCAGCGCCGGTTACTGCTGACGTACGGGGCCGGGCTGAGCAGAGATGCCAACCTCAGCTGCTTTAACAGCGTTAACCACTTCCTGCTCTCCTCGGGGGGGGGGCGATGGCGGGACTGTGGCCAATTCCCTCCCGTTCCCGTCTCTGCGCCTTCTTCAAACACGCGGACACTTTCATGATGTGAGCATCTTAACGGGGAGAAGGGATCCATGTTCAAGACCAGAAGCGTTTTATGTAACCAGAGACTGGCACTGTGGCACTAGGTCAGGACAGCCGTCTGCCCGGCACCCACAATGGGCCCTTCGACACGGTGACCAGGATTGAAAACCAGACGGAGCTGCTTGACACGTCTTCCTGGCAGCGTCACCCGTGGGGCCAGATCAGCCCAACACCACCAGGGAGTGAGTGGGGCAAAGCCAGCAGAGGTAATCCTGCAGCAGTCGGGTGCGACTATGACTCTGGTATTCACAGGACGCTCCTGCAGAAAGCGCTTGTCCTGTCGCTGTAGAAGGCCTTTCTCAGTGCTGCCTTCCTCACCAACTCTAGTCTCCACTGTTCATAGCCTCCTGCAGGCCTGGTTTACAGGAAGAGCCAGTCGGACAAAGGGACACGCATAAAGCCCTTTGAAGAAAGAGCATCACTGCCTTTCCCATCTCCCTGCTGCAGCGTCGGGGGTCTGAGGGATGAGCCTGCTGCTCTGCGTGACTTGTGATCCCAGGAACAGGAAGCCAGGCCAGGAGGTGGAAACGTGTTTCCTGTCCACCTCCACTGTTTGTTTCTTGCCTGCTTTTAGTTTGAGTCACATTTCCTTTAGGACCACAGTTAAAAACGAACCCGACAACTGCAGGCTCTGCTCCCCTCGCCGCCGGCACACCTTCTAATCCCCCTGCACAATGAGGTCTGCTTTTGTGTTCTTCATCAGTACAAAACAAAGTACTTTTGGAAATGTACTGTTGATTTTTTTTTAAAGAATTCATCCTTTGATTTCAGTCTCAAGAGAGACACCCTGATGTTGTCCGCTGGGCGGAGATGCTCCAGTTAGTGTGGCTTCGGTTTCATGCAGCCCACACCACCACTCCCTGCCTGAGCTGCAGCCAGGTGTTGCTCCCGCAGACACTCTGAGAGATCCCTGTAGAGCAGCCCATGGGGAGCCAGGGTGCTCCGATTGATTAGAAACCAGAGACCTTTAATTCAATTACTGCACAGAAATCCCACACAACAGTGCTCTTGAGGGTGCGTGCCTGAGTCAGGTGACGCGTCTGCTAGGGGCCTGTGACCTTTATTTAACACACACACACACACACTGGAACCCTTCTGAAGCCCAAGCAGTGCTGTTGTCACACTGTCACAGCACCTGTCAAGACAGGATCAGGATGCCCCTCAGTTGTGGGCAATTTGCACCTGGCCAGCAGTACCACACTATTAAAGCAAGGACCACTAGACTCAAGAACAGCTTCTATCCCACTGCAGTACGCATCCTCAACAGCTGACTGCAGGGCCTCAGACTCAATACACATCTACACTAAGGGCTATACTTTTTGCATGATCTACCATGTTTTTTTTCTCACTACTACATATTTATTGTCCCAGAACATATTCATTGTGCCTGCTGTTATTATTTATTATGTGTGTAATGTCATATCATGTCATTGCCAAACCGCTTTATACCGTACGGTATCAGAGGAAGCCAGAGCCTACCCAGCAAGCAATGAGCGCAAGACAGGGAACGCCCTGGATGGGGCGCCAGTCCATCGCAGGGCGTGCAAGCCATCATACATGGACAATTTGGAGGCCATGGTGAAGGACGAGGGGGGAAATTTGGAAAAATGAATCCCTACTCTTATTAAGAAACGCCCGGAGATCATTAATGACCACTGAGATTCAGGACCTCAGTTTAACGTCTCATCTGAAAGACGGCGCCCACTACAGTATAATCCCCCCCACTATACTGGGGCATTAGGACCCGCACAGATCACAGGGTGAGCGTCCCCTGCTGGTCCCACTAACACCACTTCCAGTGCCAACCATAGCTTCCCAGGAGTCTCCCATCCAGGTACTGACCAGGCTCAACCCTGCTGAGCTCCAGTGGGTAGCCAGTGAGAGCTGCAGGGTGATATGGCTGCTGGCTATGTGTGTAATGTGCTGTCTACACTGCTGTACTGTGTATATCCCGAGAGATGAGCACAAATAAGAACTCTGATGTATGTGTACATATGGCAATAAACTCCTCTACTCTTGTGTTCAAGCTCCTGCTTACAGTAAATTCTGAGTTTTTCAGGGCAAATCAAAGCTGTTTTACTGGTATTTCCTAAAGTGCCCCAGTGGCAGGAATGAGCCACACGTACTGTGGCTTTCCTTCTGCAACGCTTCAAAAGAACAAGATGGACAGGCTTCCAGCTGGAGCTGTGTGATGCTGTATCCTCCCACAGTGGGTCAGCGGTCAAAGACAGGAAGGTATCTGATTAATCACACTGCTGGGAAAGATTTGAAAAACAAATCTTTTCCTCGTATTCCGTGTCATGGGACTGCTGGTTTTTATACTGTATAAAAAAAAAGAACTTTCTGAAGTGACAACAAAAAGGAAGGGTTTTCCTGTACATCCCCCAAAACATTTGATAATAACACGAGGCTACAGGACTTCGGTTCAGCCCACACTGTGTGATAAAAAGGCCCGCTGAGAGCAGCCAGATCCAAGTGCCCCCACATGCAGAGTGCGGGCCTGACCGGCCCATTCTGGGGGCCGCGGAGTGTGGTGGGCAAGATGGGATATTAGGGAAATCAGCCGGGACTCTGTCCAGACAGCGAGGCTCTGCCCTGCGTTAGACCCTGCTCTGCGTGTTCCACTAGCTGTGAGGTCCTTCCACAGGACAATTGTGAATGCTGTAAATAACAGGGAGGGGATATGGGTTTTAGCAACTTGAGCTCTCCACTGAGCGACTCGCCAGAAATGTTTGCTCTATTAGTCACGTTTAGAGTCTGCTCAGCCTTCAGGTCAATGCTTGATTATAAGATGCTTACAGCACAGATGGGTCCCCAAACACTGTGTGCAACAACAAACAAAAAGAAGTGTATTAATATGAAACAGGGATTTACTTCTTTAAACTTGGGTGTCGGCTTTGGGGCCAGCTACTCTGTGTGACACCCTTAAACTCCAGGATCCCTGAGGGTAAAGACATGCCAAAGGGGAACTTCACATGTTTTACAATCCCAGCCTTCCTCGTGGGCTATTAACGTCAGGCCTCAAGCGAGGCAGACAGAGAGCCGGCTCTTTGATGAGCGGCAGCTCCATGCGATTGATATGTCTCTCGATCGGTCTGTCAGAGTGTGTCAATACCCTGCCTGGTGATTGAGGGCCCGGAAAACCACATCGCTTCCTGCCTCCCCTATCCGGCCAGCAGTATAAAAACCAGCCGTCCCACGACAGGCCGTCACCATCAATCACCGGAGCGCAGGAACAGAGTATCGGATCGGCATCCATTTCGGAGGCAGGAAAATTGTGAAGGCTGTCAATAACCACTTTCCTCCCAGGTTTATTGCCTTGGGCTGTCGACAGTGAGCCCGCTCATGTGTCACACAAGATGTCAGGCCTGTGCCTGTGCTGCAAGGGCACAAGGCGTGGCGAGGATACAGAGCACTGTGCAGCACTAATTTGCTCTCTCCACACAATTTCTCGATTGCCAATTTCCCACACAGCCTCGAAAGAAAACTCCCGGCTTTGTTTTTCTTTTTATGACAAGAATAATTGGAAATATAAGGATCAACGCAGAAGCTACAGCGAGCTGTGCAGGTCGGGGACAGAGATATCGGCCACCGATATAAAAGAAGGCCAAAGCTGGTGCTTTTTGGCTTTGATAATGACATGATCTTTATCACTCCAGGCAGCCTCTTTGGGGGTTCGGGATGTTTGGAAAACAGGGTGCTGGAGACGCAATCCGAAAGGGAGCTTTCATCATTTCATGTCTGGTTTCCAGCAGCCATATCACCCTGTAGTTCTCAGCTGGCAGCCCACTGAAGCTCAGGAGGATTGAGCCTGGCCAGTACCTGTATGGGAGACCTCCTGGGAAAGCTAAGGCTGCTGCTGGAAGTGGTGTTAGTGGGACCAGCAGGGGGCGCTCACCCTGTGGTCTGTGTGGGTCCTAATGCCCTGATATAGTGTCGAGGACAATATACTGTAGTGGGCGCCATCTTTCAGATGAGAAGTTTTACCAAGGTCCTGAGTCTCAGTGGTCATTAAAGATTCCTGGGCATTTCTTGATAAGAGTAGGGATTTATCCCGGTGTCCGGGCCCAATTTCCCCCCTCTGCCTTTACTGTGGCCTCCAAATTGTCCCCATGTATGATGGCTTGCACTTACCCTGCGATGGACTGGCGTCCCATCCAGGGCGTACCCTGCCTTGTGTTCGTTGCTTGCTGGGTAGGCTCCGGCTTACCGCGACACCGTATGGCAAATGACATGACACATGTCTGGGTTTCCATCCCAATACTCTGAAGGGTCTTCTGAAGAGTGACCAAAGCAACCCAGAACGCATGCCACTGCTTCACAGGCAGAGCGCTGTTGTGTGGCGGAAACTGAGCGCCGGAGGGAGACTCCCTAGAAACACGCAGAACGGGCACCTGTGCTCACCTTTTCCAGGTAGCGCTGCTTCTCCTCGGCCTTCTGCTGCAGGTAGGCTTCATGGAGGAACTCCTCGCATCCTGCAACACAGGCCCTGAAGTCAGGCTGGAGGGGGGCATGCGAATGGACACTCACCTCACAGACCTCCTGCCTTCTGGGGGGGGTACTTACTGGTGTCCGTTGTCTGGAGACCGTGGACGGCACTCGCTTCTGGAAGACAAAGCCCAAACTTCCTCAGTCGAGGCTGGCTCAGTGTGAAATTGTAATAATAATAATTTCTTACGCTTACATACAGCGCAGTCCGTACATATCTGGACCGTGACAATTTTTTTGTTGTTTTGGCTCTGTACTGAAATGAAACAATGACTGTGATGTTAAAGTGCAGAATGTCAGCTTTAATTTGAGGGTATTTATGTCTTATAACACGTTCTTTACTACAGCCTTATAGTGTGTTCCTTCGCACTGTGCTTATAGTGTGGGCCTCTTGTTTGAAAGTGTGATTTATCTCCAGCAGCTCTCGCTGGCCTCAGCCTGCTGAGCTTAGCTCTTTATTACATAACTGAGCCCCTTATTAAACTCATAATTTGATTAAGTGCAAGTAAAACAGCATTTTCCAGTCTGAAACCGTTACAGGTCTTATAACGGTTACTGCGTTTGATAAGTGACTTCAGATCGTCAACTTGCCAGCAACTGAAAATGATCTCAAACAGTTGAATTAGGAGAATTATTAGTTCAGTGAGTTTGTGATGAGCTCTTCTTCACTCTTAGAGAGATGTCTGAATAATCAGACACCCTGATCATATTCAATTCAAGTCAAAACACTTGATTCATCCCCAGGGGGCAAATGTAAGATATTTGTGATATTCTACACCCCTGTCACTCAAACCTCAGCCCTTTTGAGTCGTGTCTGGGAGGGAGGTGTTTAACAAATTAAATGTGAACTCACTCGTTTATATAACGAAGGAGCCATTTCTACCGAAGTGCTAAACAGGTTTGGTTTTGGAGTGGATCTCTTGTCTGCTGCATTCCTCCAACAGCATGGGGGCAAATTCCAGAAGCTGCTTTACAGGCATTTAACTTTCCGAGACGTCCTCAGTGGACTTCTTCAGAATTAACAGTGAAACAAAGCAGGGGACACGAGCATAAACTGCACAAATGCGCATTTACAGCTGGAACAGGGTTTTCTTTACACAAAGGGTTGCGGGAGTGTGGAACACGGCCCAGTCAAGTGGTGTAACTTGAACATAGGCTGATTGTTGAAAAGAAAAACAGGGTGATTAGCTAACAGGGACCAAGTGAGCTACATGCACGCAATGGCCTCACTTGTAACCTTTTGTTATGTTTTTATTTGGACCGATAGGTGGGTCAATACAGACCTGTACAGAGCTGGAAGGTTCGTTGCCTTATAAGGCGTTCATCCTAAACATTTTTTTTTGGTGTAATATAACTGTTTTTGATAGGAAATCTGCTGTCGCAATAGATATTACAGAGACGAAACTCGTCTTGCGAAAGCGCACGTTTCCCCGGGCGGCCGGCAGAGGGCAGTATTTCCAAAACCACAAACCCGCCCGCCTCGGTGTGTTTAAGGTCCTCCGCGATAATAAAAAGTAAAACACAATCACGTGTAATTGCGTAGGAATGGTACGGTACAACACTACGCAAGCGTATCGTGAGCGACTAAGGTGGTTTTTAAATTATGAAGTATTCCACAGCTTCCAAAAACGATAAAAAACAGTTAAAACAACGGGACCAAAACTTTTTTTTTCCTCGAACTGCGAGAAACGCAATTAAACGAAGGACGAAATTAAGACGCTCCCGGCACTGACAGACCCCCCGGGCCCGGGCCGGCGTGTGCGGACTCACGGGCCTGCGGGCCGCCGGCTGTGCGGAGGCGCTGCCTTGTGTCCCCGGAGACCAGGCGGGACTCCAGCGGCGGGTTCAGCGACGCGGAGCTCCAGAAGAGCTTGGCGTAGGACACGTCCTCCACCGAGGAGCCGGCGAACACCGTGAAGTACTGCTCAAATCCGGCCGGTCCTCCCGGGCCCCGACGCCCCGACATGCCGCCCTGCGCACGGGGGAGAGACACACGGGCTCTCGGGGCGACTCGCCGGGCCGGCGCGGAAGCTTGGCCTGTTGCCACGGCAACCGCAGGTCTGGGGGCAGGTCGTGATGACTACTTGCGTTTCTATAGGCCTCTACATACTCTTACAAGAGGGAACCCGTTCATCCCCGCTGCACAGACGTCAGGCGAAATGAGAAATGGCCTCACGGGTTCGCAAACTGGGGGGATAGTCGGAGCGCCGTTTGTGGTGTTCATCGGTTCCAGTGTTTGCGGTACCCAGAACGGTTTAGATGCTCGAGTCCACCCGCTCAGCTGTCAGATGCGTCGAAACGTCGAACAGGCAGTGTGTTAACGAGCACCTGCAGGAATGCAGAAAACGACAGAAAGCCACCGGCAAAAGCCCCGCACCTCGGTGTCCCTTTTATAGCACCAGCTCGTTTCCACCAGACGCAGCGGCGCTGCAGAGGGGACACCCCCGCCGGAGTCGAGCACAAGGGCTGCGCTCCGAAATTGTCCGTTCAGCACGACCGAAACCCCGCACAGTGCGAAGGAGTCTGTTCTCCTGGCAGCTGGGAGAGGCGAGACCAGACAGGCACAGGGATTAGGGCTGAGGGCGCTACGCGGGGTCAGAGGTGAGGCTCTCCGATGTGCCTGTGCCCTGTGCAGGGCCAGGAGCTGCCTGCCTGCTGGCACCGGACCCGCACAGAGCCTCCGTTCAGAACCGGGGGCCAGAGCCCACGCCCCACGACAAGACACCCTCCCCTCTGTGTCCTGGACACCAGGGGAAAGCGACAGGAGAGCAGCGGGGAAACACGGAAAAGACCAAAATAAGCCCTTTTTTATTTTATTTTTTCATCCACGTGATCCAAACATTGCGAATGGAAAGAAAAAAAATAACAATTAAGTTGCAAAAAAACAGAGGTGCTCTCAAGTCGTTGTACTGATGCACAATAAGAGTAATAATGCACAATAATTTGTATTTCATGTGGTTTCGAGACTGTAAGATCCACATAACTAGCGAACGGTTTCTCCTGTATTTCATGAAACGGGGGGTGTTGTGAACTCAAGCTGTAGACCTTCGGATTGCTGTTGCTCTCCCAGTGACAGCGACAGGAGCCCATAGGAACTTGCCAGAGCTCAAATTGATTAAAACATACCTGAGGTGGAAAACACAGGCAAATTGATTTATAGAGCGTTTTTTGTTGTTGTTGTTGTTGTTAAAAATGCTCAGCCTTACTGATCTCGCCTCCCTTGTTATTGAGTGCTCGTTTTTTATTTCTTACTTAATTTCCTATTTATTTCTGCAAATAATTTCTCCAAAGGTTGCAGTGCAGTCATTTGTAAGTTACCGTTTGCTAAGATTTGGAGGCAACAGAGATCCTGTTGATTATTGTCATTAATGATCCTTTTTATTTCTTTCAATGTGAAAAACCTTCATCTTTGTAAAATGTGTGCTTTGTGTCCTTGTTTATAAGTTATGTGTTCTACAAAGCTGGTTAATACAAGTTCTCTAGTTATATCATTCATTTCTTTTCTTGTTCTAAGTAGTAAAATAAGGTTGTGTTGGGAGCTGCTGATAGTAGTGTATGTGCAAATCATGATCTGCTGGGGCCCCTTACCACAGTACTGCCTAGCTAAGATAAGATCACTTTATTGGCCATATACAATTTCTTGTATTAGGAATTTATCTTTTCACAGACCCCAACTTGCCCTCCAAGAGACACACAGACAGGGAGAGAAGCTGGGGGTCAGAGCACAGGGTCAGCCATTTATACGGCACCCCTAGAGCAGTTGGGGTTCAGGGCCTTGCTCAGGGGACCAATGGAGTAGGATTCCTCTGCCGGCCACAGGATATGAACTGGCAACCTCCTAGCCACTGGCGCAGATCCTGAGCCACAGAGCCACCACTCCGCCCCGGCCCCAGTTCCTCTCTACATAACATATTTCATCCCTCGTTCACATTCATTAGGATGTAACCCAGTTGCTGAAAGAGTTTTAGAATTAATTTCATCAGTAAAAAAAAAGTTGCCCACAAGCTGATGCCTTTTCACTTTATTTATTGTGTTGGTCATCATCGGGAGCATGGCTACAGTGAAGCGCGATGAAGCTCCCGCCCTGCTCCGAGCTGGGCCGGCTCCGCAGCGGTGCGGCCTGCGACTCTCCACAAGTCCGTCTGTGGTTCCGACTTCCCACGGGCTGCATCTCCTGTCAGTTCACCTGGCTGTGTGGTTAGTGATTACCCACTCGCACAATCAGCTAACTACACTGCCTGGCAACCAGACAGAGCAGAGAGGAAGAGGAGGGTACCCCGGCGAGGCCTGTACCAGGGCCATGACACTCTGACAGGACATGCAGGAGATTTGGTTTTCCATGAAGGAAAAAATGCCAACAGAGCATTCTGGGAAGACTGCACTTCCTGTTTCAGTGCAGCAACAAAATGCCCAAACTACATTTGGACAGGAACTAGCATCGAGCAGCAAAGATGTCATCTGAAGGGGTTAACATGACAACGCTCACAGCTCACCACCAATCACTTCGGGTGAGTTTTCTGTAGTCAAAGAGCGTCACCTTTGGAATCTTCTTTTAAGATATTTACAGCATTGTTCACACAAAAAGTACCAGCTCGAGAAACCCCATTAAAACAAACTGGAGCAAATAATTCCCTAGCACAACTTCATTGCATGTTCCTCCCACTGCTGACCTAAGTAGAAGCAGCACAACAGAACAATTCTCCACAAATCCACAGGGACAAAACGAGACATCCCACAAATCACGGGAGCCGAATTCCATCAGCCCCCTGCCCTGGAGTTTAGGAGGAGAAGGGCTGTGTCTTCTTGTCACCTGTTGTGTTGGTAGTGTGGTTAGTGATTGCAGCCAGGAGAACAATCAGCTAACTACACTGCCTACAGACCAGGCCCTAGCAGGTCGGCCCGATGTACAGCACAGGCAGATCCTGGAGGAGACGAGATGAGTCGCGTTAATAGTCTGTCGGACGTCTTATGCAGAGGGGCATCCAGGGATTTCAGTTACCAAAGATACAGAGGAGGACCAAGGGGTTACTTGTTTTATCCATTTGCTGGAACATTTCGGCTGATGCCCACCAGTGCAGCCACGGCATCGTTAACCCGAGATTCGAACCCACAACCATCTCCAGATGCTGCTGGCACACTCCTGCTATAAATGGGACAGCCACAAACAGGCAGCGGTACGGAAAACTCACTCAGTCAAGGGTCAAGGGTCAAGAGTTACTGTTTTTTTTGTTGTTGTTGAGGTGTCCTTGACAATTTCAAATAAGTGTCTTCCTTCCTAGTGCGGCTGTGGCATCTGGTTGCAGAGAAGCAGCTCTTCTAATCTGGAATCACGGGACCCTCTGCAGACCGGCGTGGAGGAATGTTGTTCATAAAGAAGAGTTTCAGTTAATTATCAAGCTGTATTTGGTAGATGTATTGTGATGCTAACCACCCAGACAGCGACACGCTATTAGAGAAATACCGGAGTGGACACTAACGTGCAGCAATTTTAAATGTACAACTGAGTTGACACTACCGTCTTTATTATTCTTATTAGTCCGTGTTGAGGTCGTAAAGGTAGGAATAATCATTTGTGATAACACAAAACAGCAAAAAAGTTTGTTTTTTTTTTAAAAAAACTAACGTTCAAAGTTAAAAACATTTAATTATGTTATCTCACAACCGGAGAACCACGTAAATGAACGCGCTGAAATCCCCCCAGCCTCCTCATTTCGCTGAAGTGATCAAAATACTTACCAGCTTTCCCCCCCCACCACCCCCCCAGAGACAGCTTTCTGTTTGACAGTGGGAGATGGGGGGGAGAGGCTTTGGAAACGTCCGAGGAGCAGAGACGGCGCGACCCGCGTCCCTCCGGCGTGTCCCGCAGCGCCTCTGTGTGCAGGGGTAGTCATGGACCTGCCGCCTGACGTCACGGAGCCCAGGTGGAGTCCGGGGAGCGCGAGGGTGGGAGCCTTGGCCCAGGCAGCCTCTTGTGCGGTTGGCATCCTCGTCCTGAGGATGTTAAAATGTTGTCGTCCCCCCCTCCCACCACACACACACATTTCTTTTTTTTACTTCCACAAGGTTCACGTCGTTTTCCGTCTGGCACGCAATACGGTTTTGCGTAACAAACGTTTGGATTACAACTCAGTAGCAGCGGAGGCAAGACCTTTCCATAAAAATAAAACGACGACATCCCGTCTCC